TCCCCCCGAAGCAGCTGGTGATGCCAGCAGGGATCTCCTCCCATCTCTCCTCTGCTGGGACAGGAGGACCCCAAATCCAGCCCTGCTCTCCTCCCCTGCTATGGGCAAACCTCAGCCCTCAGCTGCCTCCTGCAGCCTTGCAATTACAGCCTTTAATTAATCCATTAACCCCATCTGGCACTGGGGGTCACAGGCAGCAGGCAGGCAGTGGGGCAGGAGCTGAGGTTGATCCTCTCCAGGGCTGGTCACCCCCATGTGCCCCCCAAAACAGGGCCGAGCCGCAGGCTTTCCCCGCTCGGGGTGGCACGTACCCCATGGCGGCCCCACCGGCGCCGGGAACAGGATCCGTCCGGCAACACGCTGTTCCAGACAAGGGCAGGAGCACCACGTATGGCTGATCCATCTATGCATCAGGGAGGGCTGCAGCTCCCCTGTAAAGTGGGGGCGGAAGCTGTAGTGGTTCAGATTTCTCCTCTCACCTGTCGCTAAATCAAAGGCCATTTGGATTTAATCTCCGGGAGAGGCAGGTTTAACCCTCCCCTGTGTGGCTCGGTGTCCCCACACTGGGGTAAGGCCCTGCCTCACCGACCTCTGATACAGGCAGCGGGGGCAGCCAGGCAGCTCGCTGCCAGCCTCTCCTCCCCTCTCCCATTTTGGCCTGGTCTCCCATCCAGGGCTCATTCCGGGTGGGAGCAGCGATGCTTCACCCCGCGAGGCCGTTGCCCGGCCACTGCCTGTGGTGATGGGGACACACGGCTCAGCAGGGACGCTCTCGCTGGTGTTTCTCACTACTGACTGCTTCCTTGCCACCCTCTCAGCTGAAACACCAAAAGCCCTGCTGAAAGCACAGCTGCTCCCACGTACACCATGAATTGAATGGAGAGGCAGAGGGCACAAGCGGGTGGCAGGGGGTAGAAGCATCCTGTGGGCACAGGCTGCCTTCGCTGCCTTCACTGCCTCCGTGTCCTGTTATGGGGTGCAAAGCCATGGGGTGCTGGGGCACCGCGCACCCCATCGCAGAAGCCAGCAATGTATCAGCTCCATCAGCTTCCAGATGCTGCCCCAGACTCATGGAAATGTGTCACCGTGCTGCAAACTATTTGCCAGCACAGTTGTAACAATGCTTCAGACAAGCACACTGCTCCCATCAGCTAGGAAAGCGCTTCACCCCACGTGTGACCACACAGCGCTGAGCTGCTCACTGGGCAGCGCAGGTTACTGGGGCACCGCGCCCAGGACCAGAGCAATGCCCAGCACCGCCTGCTCCAGCACGGTGCTGGAGAACGTTGCTCTTGGCTTCCTTGGTGTCCACCGTCCCCTCCGAACCGCAACAGCTGAGCACTGAGATAGGAGGTCCCTGAAAACACACTCAGATGCAGCATGGGCTGTTCCTGATGTTTGCAAATGGTCTTACTGAAAGGCACCTCGGCGCTGCAGCGGAGCCGTGTCCGGTGGCGGAGCTCGGGAGCACTCGGCCAGTGGGAAAGGTTTGCGTGCTTTTTTGGGTTCCCCCTCGCACAATCACTTTAAGGCATCAAACATAAGGCTTACTAGTGAAATAAAAATGAATGTTTGTAGAAGATGCTGCAAAACTTGGCAGAATGCTAGGATCTTTTTTTTTGGGGGGAGAGCTCAGCTCAAACCCCTGCAGCAGAGGAGCTCTGTCCCTCCTGTACATGGGCTGGTTCAGGAACAGAAGAGGCACCCGTGTCCCACGTCCTGGACTGTGAACAGCAAAGGGAGGGGAGCGTGTTACTTGTTCGGAGCCCAGAGTTTCTCCCTTGCTAAGTGCTGCTGGCTTTTTCCAGGGGCGGGGGTCCAGCTCCCTCCTCTGCCCTCCTCCCTGCGCCTCCCCTAGGCCCTGCCTCCGCTGCTCCCTGCCAGCACAGGTGGAAGCGGCAGCGTACGTGCCATTTGCCAGTGTTCTGTCCCAAACTGCGCTCCCCGGACGGCTGAAGGCTGCCCAGCCCGCGGGGGCTGTGCTCAGGCGAGGGCCGGCTGGTGTTGCAAGCTCAGCTCCCTGCTCTGCCTGTGCCCGGCACCGCCTGGGCCCTTGGGGACCGTCCCTCACCTCTCCCTGGGGTACCCCACCGCTCCGTGGCTGTTGGCCCTGCAGAGGGTTGGCTTTGGGGTAAGGAGAGCCAAGAACCCTCGTCGCACATCTCCAAGACCCCCTTGCTCCAGACCTGCCTGCAAACGCCGGGGGGCTCCACCTGCCCCAAACCCACCCCCAGCTCGTTCGTGCCCCATCCCAGCTCCTGACCATCGCTGCTGTCGTCCCTTTGTCCTTCCTCCCGCTGCCTGCACTCCTCCCTGCCAGCAGCTTAGGGCTCTTTTCCCTCCCTGCTCCCTTGCAGGCAGGTCACTGCCCCGTCTCTCCCTCCCTCCCCCCTCGGGGTGTCACGGTCCCCTCTCCCGCGGGCGCACGCTCCGGCTCAGCACGGGCAGAGGCTTTGCCCCTGCCACGCTCCCGTCCCCACGGGTGCAGCACGTGCCCTCGGTGCGGGATCGAACGCTCCACCTGAGCTACTAAATCCACAGGGGCTCCCGCAGCCCTGCTGAAGCCAAGAGCCATCTCGGCTCCGCTCGCCATCTCGGCGGGTCCCCGCGGGATGCAGGGCTTTTCTGTAAGACACATGAGTGTCCCCATCTCCACGTGCCCATAAAGGTCCTGTGAGTCTTTCCCTGGGGGAAACACAAGCTGAAATAATTATTTTTTTTATAATACCTGGCCCAAGCTGGCTGGCCAAGCCCTCCTTGAAAAATACGGTATTTAGGCACATCATTCTGGGCACAAAAGGCTGCAGTGGAAAACAAGTCGCTGCATTCATCCTTCTCTGGTTTCTTCCCTTCCTTGCAGACAGTCCCCCCGCGCTTTGCCTTCCCTGCTGTCAGTGGACATAAGCTAATATGGAACAAGATATTCATGCAAAAGGCCTTTGGAAATATTCATTGCTCATCTCTTAACAAGATTACCCCTGAAATCCTCCATTGCTCTGAGGGAGATTTAAAACCTTTCAGGCTCTTGGTAACCATAGCAGCACAGATGTGAAAACTAAGGAGAGACAACTGATGTGAAAAATCATTGGGGATGTACAGACAGGCTGTGTGCGACTGCAGCGCCGAGGCAGGGGAGCTTCTATCTGCAACACATTTCTTTCTTTGTCTAACACAGCCAGGGCTGGCTCTTCACGCTGGCCAGACCACACAGGACACATCTACCTTTGCAGAAGTGACTCCAGCTGCAGACAGTGGTAGTGATGTGACCCAGTGCTGGCTCCGATGGCACCAGGGTCACCTTCCCGGCCACAATTTGGGAAACCCTCCATGGCTGGTGTTGCTACTCAGCATTTCCCAGCGTGTCCATCAGCTCGTGGCTCCTTCCCTGCAAGGTGCCGGCAAGAATGGCGATGGTTCAGAGCCAGGACTGGGGGGCTGGAGACTGGGGTCCCTGTTCCCTCCTGCCATGGGCTCCTCCCTCACCTTGGGCACCGTTTCTGCATCGGTAAGAGAGACGCTGGATGTTGTGAGATAGAACAGATCCGTGTTTTGAGGCACAGTAAATCTCTCCAGAAAGAGCTTCATGTTGGCAAGTGAAGGTGCAAAACCCCACAGGGTGCCATGGTGTACTGGGCGTTTTTGGACATCAGTCCCATTGCCAGTCCTGTTAGGGACCCAACCTTCCCCTTCTCCCAGGGCAGGCTGAGCCAAGGACAGGACTCTGCTCACCCCAGTGCAATCTCTTGGCTCTTCTGATAATAATATCAGATAGGGAAAGCTCTTAACATGGCTAAAATGAGAAATTAAGAGGCAGGAATAATTCTTGTGAAAAGGCCTTTTGAAATCAACAGAATAAATTCAGTCAGAACTAAATGCTGAAACTGGTACTTAGCTATGGAAAGAAAACCAACTGCATTAGAACTACAAAAACTAGTCCAAAGCTAGAACTGCCTCCCCCCCCCCAAATTTAGGATAAAAATCTATTTTAACTTTTGAGCAAGTTCTCTTTGTATTTGCACCTGGCATAAATCAGCTTCTGAAACAACTCCGGCATGGAGTAGGGAAGGTGACCGCTGAGGAAACACACCCAGCCGGAGCAACCCGCACCTCTGGGAGCAAACCCGCTTCCAGAGGTGATGCCCACCCACGCGGAGACGGGGCCCGAACACAGCCCCCTCCCCGCCCCACAAACCAGCACAGCCCCCTCCCCCACCCACAAACCAACCAGCTGTGCTGGGTCCCAGTTTTGCTGAAGCCAGGTCATGGCCAGCGTTCCTACCCACGACTGGCATCTGCTCGCAGAGACCGTGATGCATTGTTTTCAGGGAAATTTTATTTTCCCCTCAGGTTAAATATTTCCTAAAATCACAGAATAACTGACAGCTGAATGTGGAGGTTATGACGCATGGGTTTCAGGGAGATCTTATTTTTCCCCTCAGGTCAATAGGCTTACAGAAGAGTTTGCAGCAACCCCATCTGCAAACAAGTCCCCCAGCCCCCAATAAGTGCAAGGAGCGCTGTGGGTGACCAACCAGCCCCTGCCATGTCTGCCCATGAGCCACCCAACGGGTAGGGACCCCCACCGAGCTCCCCTGCTGCCAGCAAGCCCACGCCAAGAAACACACGTTAACCTCCAGGGAGGACAAAAGGGCAGGACGGCTGTTGCAGCGTGGCGGCTGCGATGCTGCCGGCTCCCCGGTGCTACCGGCAGCGGCGGGTGATGCAAGTGCAATGTGCAACGTAGCGCGGTGCTCTCCAGGGCTTTCCAGGACTGAGCTCCGCGGATTGGCCCGGAGCACCCCGCTCTCCTCCCTCCCTGCCCTCCCTCCTTCAGCACCCTCAACCCACGGAGATTGGACAGCCTGGTGCCACATGGCAGAGAGGAACCAGGATAAAAGATGAGCTGGACTGGGGGACTGTAGCATCCGTGGCAGAACAGCCAGGACAAGTTTGTAGGGAGGTGGCATCAAACTTTGCTGGCTGCAACGAGCCAGTGCAGGGGAGGACGGACGGACAGACGGACAGACGGACAGACGCCGGGGCTGCAGCCACCCGGGGACACCCGTGGAGTGAGCACCAGCTGTGGAGTGTCCCGTCCCCTCTGCGCCCAGCCATGTCCCTGGTGGTGAAGGAGAAGAACCATGTGCGGTTGGTCTTCTTGGGCGCTGCTGGCGTGGGCAAGACAGCCCTCATCCGCCGCTTCCTGATGGACACCTTCGAGCCCAAGCACCGGCGCACGGTGGAGGAGCTGCACAGCAAGGAGTATGAGGTGAGCGGGGCCACAGTCAAGGTGGAAATCCTGGACACCAGTGGCAGCTATTCCTTCCCGGCCATGAGGAAGCTCTCAATCCAGAACAGCGATGCCTTCGCCCTGGTCTACGCCGTAGACGATGCCGAGTCCTTTGAGAGCGTCAAGAGCCTGCGGGAGGAGATCCTGGAGGTGAAGGAAGACAAGTTCCCTCCCATCGTGGTGGTTGGCAACAAGGCGGAGAGTGGCGGTGAGCGGCAGGTGCCGGTGGAGGACGCCCTGTCGCTGGTGGAGCTGGACTGGAACAGCCGCTTCGTGGAGACATCGGCCAAGGACAACGAGAACGTCCTGGAGGTCTTCAGGGAGCTGCTGCAGCAAGCCAACCTGCCCAGCCGGCTCAGCCCAGCGCTCTGCAAGAGGAGGGAGACGTTGCCCAAGGAGCAGGCACTGAGGCCTCCCATGAACAAGACCAACAGCTGCTCGGTGTGCTGAGCCGGCCGCCCGGGGCCGGGAGGAAGGCGCCGGCAGCAGCGGCACCGGCTGGAAACTCAGGTGGGCTGGGTGGGGAGAGGTGCTGCCTCGGCCAAAACCAACCCTGCTGCCTCCCACCCCTTCCCTCCTCTTCCCCACCCAGCCTGCTGGGACCGGTGAGAGCTGGAGATGACAAGGAGGAGGGACTTGGAAGGGATGCTGGTTGCTGGAAGGGCGCAGGGAGAGGGCAAGTTCCCAAAAAGGCAGGAGGCTTACCGGGGAAACCGCCGTCGGTCAGCCAGCACGTTGCATTTGTGCCATGGCGAGCTTGCAGGCAGGCAGGCAGCTCCTTGCGTGCTAGGAAAGGGGGAAAAAAAAAAAAAAAAAGAGGGTCTTTGGCTGCATGCATCAGAAGGCAGATGCAGGCACCTGTGCAGCTGCATCGCACCGCCAGTGCCGCTCTCCCGGGTCTCGGTTGGGTCCTGTGTCCACCTCGCCCCAAGCACTTGCACGTATGACCTCCTGGCACAGCTATGGTTACAATGACAGATCCAGTGTCCAAAGTAGTTTTGATTTTGTACCTTGGCGTAAAGCATGCAATAGGGCAGTCTATGCATCTCTTCAGTTTTCTCTTTTCTATTTTTGTGTTTTTTAAGCGTATCCAATAAACATGTTGTTGCAAAGTAGAGCTGGAAAACGTCTGGGTTTCTTTCTGCTGTACTTAAAATGCTGCAGTGCCTCGTATCAGTGTTTTATGCCTGGACCCCTTATCACTGCATTTGCTTTCCCTCCTCCATGCTCTGTCCTTATCTGGAGCGTCCCGGCACCAGCGGAGCCTCCCCGGCTCTCTGGCCTCCCCTGGCAGTGTCAGGACATTTGGTGTTATGATTTTTCCTGACAATTTAACCACTAACGTTTTTAGCAAGCATGAGTAACTAAAAATAAAACAGCTCTTTTCATGTGCAAGTACAGAAAAGAACAACAGCCATTAAAAGACAGCTGATCCACTGAAATAAAAACCATAAACACATTAAAAGGCGGTAATAAAAGCAGTGGGAGAAGAGCACAGAAGGGCAGTATTTACCGTGCTTTAGCATGCACTGCGCTGGTTTACTCTCCCCTTGCACAGCCCATCCTTGCTGTAATGAGCATTTAACCTGCTCAGCAGCCGCACAAACACAATAAATAAAGATTAAAGCTTGGTGGATTAGAGAGTCATCCACCCTGGTCCAGACCCAAGGGAGCTGGGCAGTTTGGGGTCCCAGCTTTCAGAAGCCCAGCCCTTCAACACAGGGCGCCCCTGCCCAGCCCAGCCGGGCAGGCTGAGCAGGATCGCACCCAGCGATCCCAGCCCCTTCCCAACCCAGAGGGAGGAGGAGAAGGTGCTGGCAGGGAGGGCTCAGCCTCGCCGAGGGCACCCCTCGCTGGGGCACCCCACGGCCACGTCCCCCGCTGTGCCCATCTCCCGGCCACCCCGATGGGGACGGGGCTGTCCCTGCCAGCGCTGCCCACGCTCGGCCCTGGCCAGGGGTGACCTGGCCGTGGTGAGGCATCTGCCGGCCAGTGCAGTGACCCCTTCCTCACTGACCCGACCTCTCGCAAATTAGCCGGCCCTGCAGGAGAGTCACAGCTTGCAGAGAGGGTTTTTTCTGTTTTAGAGCAGGGTTATGCTAGAATCAGGAGCACTGAGCTTTTTGGTTTACAGTATTATGCTAAAAGCAGAAGGAAAAACTCTTTGCAGTGTAAAATTAGGAAGCTGGGATGAACACGGCTGCCTGCCAGCCCCCCCCTTGCTCAATGCACCCTGTGTTTTAATCCATGACATGGACTGGAAACAGCTCCTGATGTCTGGGGTGTCCCGACAGCCTTCCCAGACTCAGGCTGGCAGAGCTCCCCTGGAGCCGCTGTGGGCAGAGGCTCCCCAGTGCCCACCGCCGGCTTCCCCAGGCAGAGCAATGACCCCCAGGTGCTTCAGGACCACC